CCCCTCTCCTGAGGCTGCAGTACTGTAAGTACCACTCACTCAGCTGCTGTGAGGAGAGAGCTCCTCCAGGTGTAGCACTCCCAGGCTCAGCACCTCCAGACTCAGCACCCGCAGGCTCCGCACCCCCAGGCTCAGCACCTCCAGACTCCGCAACCCCAGGCTCCGCACCCCCAGGTTCCGCACCCCCAGGCTCCGCACGCTCAGGCTCAGCACCCCTAGCAGGACGAGAGTCGACAGCTACCTCGACAGGCTCAACCGGGTCTACCTGGGACACACCTGAGGGAGCGGCACCCTGAGGGGGGAGGGGGTCTACCACAGCAGCACCTGGCGCGAGGAAGAGAGGCGGGGGGGGTAGCGGGGCAGTGCGGTAGGGGAAGAGGCGGTAGTAGGGCACGGACTCGTCAAAAGTGACGTCCTGAGAGGGCAGGACACGGCGCGAGGTGGCGTGGTAAAACTGCCAACCAGACGCGTCCGGGACAAAGCCAAGGAAGACACAAGGAACAGCGCGGGAGGAGAGCTTGTCCGCGGACGTATCGCGGACAAAAGCTCGAGATCCCCAGACCCGGAAACGCGACGCATCGCCAACCTCCCCCGTCCACAGCAGTGTGGGCGAGGTCTCCGGCAAGGAGACACGGGGCCAGAGGTTGAGCTGATGCGCAGCGTACCGGACCGCAAACGGCCACAGAAAGTGGGGGGCAGCCACATGGATCAAGGAGGTACGAGCGACCTCCATGACCAAGCCAATGCGGCGCTCAGCAATCCCATTCTGCTGTGGAGAGGCCGGAAGCGTGAACGACTGGCGGATGCCGTGCTCCGCACAGTAGGCTGCCAAGAGGTCGGAGGAGAACTCACCACCTCTGTCAGAGTGCAGACGCAAGACAGGAAAGTCCGAGTGGAACCGCGCGCTGAGCTGGAGACGAGAAGCGCTGATCCAAGGGATCAAAACATCAGGGACCTCACCCTTGGTGCGCAAGGGGAAGACCGTGGTGTAGCGCGAGTAGTCGTCAACAACGATCAGGAAGTACCTCTCCTGACCCTGTCCACGGACGCGGGCTGGGCCCCACACGTCCATGTGGAGCGTCTGCAAGGGAGCAGTCGTCGGGGGAAACGAGGAGGAGTGAGGAGCGGCGCGCTGCCGCCCCTCGACACAAGGAAGACAGGGAGGAGCAGGCGAGGGTGGGAGGGGAGGGAGTACCCGGGGAAGTCCAGAGACAAGGTACCGTTTGTGCATGGCACGAAGGCGCTGCACTGACGGGTGACCAAGGCGGTGGTGCCAGAGGACGGTCTCGTGTGCTAGAGAGCGACACGAGCAGGGGGCAGACAGCTGACCTGAAGCAGACGCAGACGCAGCTACCTGAGGGGACTCAGTGGTCAGTGTGTACAGGTCCGACCCCGGCTGCCGAGTGAAGGTAGCCAGGTGACGGCCCGTCCGAGCACACGTGCAGTGTGTCACGCGCTCGTAGGCAGGGGTGAACTGGTGGACACCCCCGTCCTGGAGCGCACTACCCGCCACCAAGTTCGTAGAGAACGAGGGGAGGTAGAGACCTGACAGTGTGCCCGACGGGACCGCAGGACAAGGGAGAACAGTAGAGGAGGTCGCAATGACCGGACCCCCAGAGGGGTCAGCGAGGGAGACTGCAACCGGCCGAGCAAGCTGCTCAAGGGCAGTGCGGTCATGAAAGAAACGGCGGGAAGCGCCTGAGTCCAGTGTGAAGGTGTGCAGTGCCTCAGTAGACGCAGTACCAGAGGGCGCAGACTCACGAGTACCTAGAGCAGCAGCCTCACCAGCACCTGGGGCACCAGACACACGAGCACCTAGTGCAGCAGCCTCACCAGTACCTAGAGCAGCAGACTGGATACCGGGGTCAGGCGGCACACATAGGTGACAGGCACTCTCAGCACTAGTAGACAATGCATACATGGCAGTGAGGATAGCATCATAGTCAAGAGCATAGATATCTGCCCTCTGCCTAAGCAGCTCCACCCAGTCGGGGAGCTCAGCGTCGTCGCCAAACTCTGTACGCCAAGCATCGCCCAGACGGGCGAAGCAGCGGGACTCTGTGTGACCACGTGTCCCGCAAGGCTGACCAGTCCGGACACCTGTGCGAATGACGTACGGGCAGCGAGCAGTACTCAGTGACCCTCTACTCTGAGCGTACCACTCACGAAGCTGCTGGGGCGAAAGAGCCTCGCGTAGACGACGCGGCTGCTGCACCGGGCCACTACAAGAAACTCCCGAACTACCCACTCCAGGACGACTCCCACTACTGCCACCCCGACAACCCCAACTGGCGTACCACTCACGAAGCTGCTGGGGCGTGAGGGGCACACTCGGACGGCCCTGGAGCTGCATCTGGCCACGCCAGGAGCAGCAGTAGAAGTAGTAGCAGCAGCAGTAACAGCAGTAGCAGCACGGGCAGGGCAGTGCTCACCAGTGGTGGGAAGGGCAGGCGTACGAGCGAGGCGACTGCGGGGCCGTCACAGCGGCCGCTCCAGGGGCGGCTGCTCCAGGGGCGGCTGCTCCAGGGGCCAGGGGCGGCTCCTGCAGTGGCAGCTGCTCCAGGGGCAGCTGCTCCAGTGGCCAGGGGCGGCTGCTCCAGGGGCGAGGGGCGGCTCCTGCAGTGGTGGCTGCTCCAGTGGCCAGGGGCGGCTGCTGCAGGGGCGGCTGCTCCCGTGGCCAGGGGCGGCTGCTGCAGGGGCGGCTGCTCCAGGGGCCAGGGGCGGCTGCTCCAGAGGCCAGGCGCGGGTTAGGTCAGGGCGACTCAGCGGGCAGGGGCGACGCGCGGGCAGGGGCGACGCGGCGGGCAGGGCGACGCGGCGGGCAGGGCGACGCGGCGGGCAGGGGCGACGCCGTGGGCAGGGCGACGCGGCGGACAGGTGGCGACGCCGCGGGCAGGGCGACGCGGCGAGCAGGGGCGACGCCGCGGGCAGGTGGTACGCGGCGGGCAGAGCGACGCGGCGGGCAGGGGCGACGCCGCGGGCAGGGCAACGTGACGGGCAGGTGACGACGCCGCGGGCAGGTGGTGACGCCGCGGACAGGTGGCGACGCCGCGGGCAGGGCGACGCGGCGGGCAGGTGGCGACGTCGCAGGCAGGTGGCGACGCCGCGGACAGGTGGCGACGCCGCGGGCAGGCGGCGACGCCGCGGGCAGGGCAACGTGGCGGGCGGCGAGAGCCTGCAGGGGCGGCGCGCGGTCGGGCAGAGGCTGCGCGGCGGGTCTGCAGGGGCGGCTCTCGGGCCTGACGGGCCTGCAGAGGCGGCTCGGGGGCCTGACGGGTCTGCAGAGGCTCTCGGGCCTGACGGGCCTGCAGAGGTGGCTCGGGGGCCTGACGGGTTTGCAGGGGCGGCTCTCGGGCCTGATGGGCCTGCAGAGGCGGCTCGGGGGCCTGACGGGTCTGCAGAGGCGGCTCGGGGGCCTGACGGACCTGCAGGGGCGGCTCGAGGGCCGTACTAGCTTGCAAGAGGCAGCACGAGGGCTGCAGGACGGCACGCGGGCAGACCGAAGGGCGGGGCGCGCGAGGGCGCACTAGCAGAAAAAGGAAAAGGGGTGCACGAGGGCGCACGAGCAAAGAAAGGCGCACGGAGGCGCACGTAAGGTAGGGCGCACGAGGGCGCTTCTAGCGGAATAGTGGGCCCGTAGGAGAAAGCGGTCCTAGGTAGCAACCTAGGCTCGTGATACCATGTTAGAATGAACAAGTGTGTGTGAACTAACAAGATTGGGAGTACAAGTAGGAAACCCTAGAATGTTGTACCCCCTAAGGCTAAACCCACTATAGCCTACACAATGTAAACATATAATGTTTGACAGCGCGCTACGGCAGGAGCGAATGCGGGACGGAAGCGAGGCGCGGGACGGAAGGGACGGAGGGTGCTGGGCGACGGCAGGGACGGGGGGGACTGGAGGAAGGACTGAAGGCACGACCGGGACGGGAGTGACGGGCGCGGCGACTAGGACAGACGCGACGAGGGCGACGGGAGGAGCGGGAACGACGATAGCCACTAGCGAGACGGGACCTACGAGTGCGATTGGAGAAGCGGGTGCGGCGGGTACGACGGATTAGATGGTGTATGAGATATATGTGCACGTACCGCGAGAGATCCGATGAAATGGGCGTTACGTGGGGGACGGTGGAGACCTATACTATGCAAACTGACGGAAGTCTCATTTCAAAATCCTGGGTGCTCGGCGTAGTTATCGGTAGTGGACGATATTGTGGGCTACGGAGCCTACTATTCAACGAGTCTAGAAAGGTAGCTTCAAGCTTCAAGTTTCCGGAAGTGTGAACAGTTGCCCCGGTTTTTGTTTGTTCTGGCGAGTGTCGACAGTGGTTTTGCTGTTGTGCTTTTGGCCAATCATAATACTGCGCTTCAAACACCCCCACAGTGGATCGCGAGAGAGCCCCATAGAAAGGCGGGTTACCTTGTTCACTGGCGAAATCATGTTCAAGAATCTTGAACTTGAACACTTGCCATTCTAGACTCGGGCTTTAAGCACGCGACGGCACTCCTCGCACTCTGTTTAGTACAACTCATAATAGAGTCGTTCGGTCGGCCCTCCCATATCCTCGGAAACAGCTGTCGCATAGTATCGTGGCGAAGGCTGTTTTACCCGCCTCCTGAATTCCCTTTCGCCCCACACACATTTTCGAAATAAACTAAATTTTTATTTTCGCCACACTGTTTCAACCCCACATAACTTGAAAATTTACCATGCTGACCTAGGGCTTTAAGAAGTTAGAGCTGGGATCGAATTCGGAAAAAACAACCACTTGAATTAATCGTGCAAGGGCAGGTTGTTTGCCACAACCACTAGTAACTTGTGTAGAAGGGTCACTTGCTTGCTTGCCATGGCATCTGCTACGTGCCTGAAAATACTTGCATGGTGGCAGAAAATACAGTCACATCACTACACTGGCAACCCTACATACAGTCACACATCGCTGCACAGCCTCACAAGAAGTCACAGACTGCTGCGCCCACTGTTGTACCCCCTCTTACACTCACACACCGCTGCGTAGCCTCCCAAGGGCTTCAGCATGCAGGAGGGTCTCAGGCGCACACTTGTCGGGCAGAAAGACAGCGGTGGGGTGGAACGAGTAGAAGGCAGCCGAAGCAGAGAAGCCTGACTGGGAGAGCACGTCTCTCAAAGGCACTATCCCACTACACTGTTACACCCAACGCACACACACTCTGCGTAGCCTCCCCAACGCATCAGCATGCAGAGGGGTTTCAGGCGCACACTTGTCGGGCAGAAAGACAGCGGTGGGGTGGAACGAGTAGAATGCAGCCGAGGCGGAGAAGCCCGACTGGGAGAGCACGTGGGCGTTGCTCCCCGTTAGCACCAGCCAGTCCGCCACTATGTCTAGGAACGCCTCCCTGCCCTCTGAATCTGCACCCGCTGCTGATGATGGCTCTGCTGCTCCTGCTGTTACTCCTCTTCCTGCTCTGTCTGCTCTTGCTGCTCCTGCTGCTGCTCGTGCTGTTCCTGCTGTTCCTGTTGCTCCTGCTGCCACTCCCGTCTCGTTCTCAGTCAGCTTTCTTCCTGCTGTCACTGGTACACGCCCTAGTGAGAGCCCACGATCAATCAACGGCTCAGATTCTTTGTTGCGGTTGCTGCGTGTGCGCAACATATGGACGGACGTAGTGAGCCTGCAGACAACTCTTCAAGCTTCCTGACTGTAACAGTATCAGGTTGTGTTTTATGGAGCAGGTTGGAGTGACGTGGCATGATGCTGGATGTTACCACCTGGAGGGGAGAGAGGAGGGAAGCCAGGGGGAGAATGTAGAGGCAGTGATGCAAAGAACGGAGAGTGAGGTCATTTCATTCCTAAATGCTTTTTGCATGCAAAACAAGTTGGATGTAGAGGCAGAAGGAGAGTTGGGGGGTGGGGTGTTGGGGGGGGGGGGGGGTGTTGGGGGGGGGGGGTGTTGGTATGCAGACGCCGGGAAGCAATGAAACAATTTATATGAGGCTGACGGCAACTATTTCCCCACCTTATGGGGGTATTTCCCCTTGAGCGCCTATTTTAGCCGGGCAGAGTTGGTGACAAGCAGCCATCGCACAGAGAGGGAGGGCGGCAGCCAGAAACTCTCCACTGCCTGATGGGGGGATGGAGGGATGGGGCGCGAGGGAGAGAAGGAGGGAGGGAGGGAGGGAGGGAGGGAGGGAGGGAGGGAGGGAGGGAGGGAGGGAGGGAGGGAGGGAGGGTTAGCAGGAGAGGGAGGGATGGGGAACGGGACGTGAGGGCGAGGGAGAGATGGGGCGCGAGTGGGGAATGGGACGTGAGGGCGAGGGGGAGCGTGGCGGGGAGAGGAAGAGAAGTGCTCAAGGGACCATACAAAGGACCATTCGAGTGAAGGTGAGCAGGTGAGAGAGAGGCGGAGGGAGAGCATACGCTTCAAGCTGCTGTGAGAGCAGCTGCTGTGAGAGCTTATCCACTCGACTCGACCCACCAGTGGCGCACTCTCCTTCCTGCACCTTACACAGCACCACACAAACACATGGGATGGGACAAGGTGAGGATACATGTGGTGAACGGGGGCCCTTATCCACCGCATCCACCAATAACGCACCCTCCTTCCTGAACATGTGAAAGCACCTGAACACGTGAAGCACCTGAGCACCTGAAGCACCTGAACACGTGAAGCACCTGAACACCTAAAGGCACCTGAACAACCACCTGGACATGTAAAAGCACCTGAACGTGTGAAAGCAGTCTAAAACGGGCCTAGGAACTTAGCCTATGTACCATCTCACGAGTTGATTAGCGGAAGGTGTCGAGTCGAGAGTAAGGGGAAAGGGGTACAAGTAGGAGAGTCGAGATAAATATTGTACCCTATACTATGTGCCTCACTCTAGCCGAAGATAACTAGCAAAGCTAAATATAAAATTTGACACTTTCGTCTGAAATTTCAGACACCCAGAATTCTTTCGTCAAATGCTCAGACGGGCTTCAATCCTAGCAACGACCCTGCCCACAACCCTCTTCCAAGGCTGCACCCAGCCACGGCAGTGGCAGCACCAGCACTGCTTCTCTTGATTTTCTCACGAGCAAGGGTGAGTGACTGCAGTTGATTGCATTACAAGCACTAGCACTGATGGTTATACGGTACTTTCTATGCACACGCGGGCAGTGGTTTCCCACACAGGTTGGGGTTCCCTGGTTTGAAAGAGCCTCTCTTCAACCTGCTAAGAGCGGCTGGTACAGCTCCTGACAGCCCATTCCCCGCCAGCAGCACTTGCCGTATCCCTGCCGGCCAATCCGGGGGAATTTCTCCCGATAGCCTGTTATATGACAAGCCTAGTCCTTGCAGCTGATTCATCTTGCTCACACCAGCGGGGATCGCTCCTGTGAGGCTGTTTTTATCGAGGCGGAGGCGCTTGAGGTTTGTAAAGGAGCTGATTGTAGCGGGGATGGGGCCGGAGAGGCTGTTGGCGGGCAGAGAGAGAAACTGGAGGGAGTCGGAGCAGGAGGGGGAGGAGAGCGGGGTGGGCGGGCCTGAGAGGCTGTTGGAGGCGAGGTTTAGGAAGGAGAGAAGCTGCCCTTCCTGGCAGAAGGCGGGGATGGGGCCTATGGGATAGGGGATGAGAGGTAGGAGGAAACACAGGGATGGAGCAGGGAGGGGAACACGAGAGTAAATCAGGGAGAGCAGAGATGGGTAGCAGGACGAGGGCGAGGAAGGAGGGCTGTGAAAGAGAAAGGGGGTGGGAGAGTGGGGTGGGTGGGCCGGAGAGGGTGTTGGAGGCGAGATTGAGGAAGTTGAGTGAGGGCATGATGGGCCTGGCCTGGTAGAAGGTGGGGATTTGGATGATCGGCCCCGGGGGTGCGGGTATCAACAGGGAGAGAAGAGACGGAGGGAGTGGCAATTGGAGTTATGAAAAGGAACACTTAGGGTTGAGGAAGGTAAGGGCATGGTGGGCCGGGCAGAAGGAGGGACTGCAGAGGAAACGAAGGCGCGAGGGACGTGGAGCAGGGAGAGCAGAGGCAGGAAGGTGGGAAGATGAGTCGAGCAAAAGAAGATATAGGGTTGAGAATGGTGGTGAGGTCTTGATGGGCCTGGCAGAAGGTGGGAGGAGAAAGTGCGTTGAGGAGTAGGGAGGGAGAGCGGGAAAGTAGGAAGAAAGAGTAGTGAGAAAGCAGATTTAGGGTTGAGGAAGGTGAGGAACTGGGTGGGGCAGGAAGAGGGATAGGAGAGGCGGGACAGTAGGCAGAAGAATCGTGAGTGGGCAGATTCTGTGTTGAGGAGAAATGGGGGCCTGGTGGGCCTGGTAGAAGGAGGGGATGGGGCCAGGAACAGGGAGACCGAGAGACAGAGGAGTGGAAACTGGAGTCATGAGAACAGAGATCTAGGGGTGAAGGCCTGAGGGATGGGGGAGGAGAGGTAGGAGCAATAATGGGGCAGGTGAAGCAGATGGATTGTGGACAACAAGGGTGGACGAGAAGAGGGGCCAAGAAGGGCGAACAGCAAATCAGATTACCTCGTTTTGAAAACCGGTAGTTCTCAAATCAGATTACCTGTCAGGGCGTTCCCCTGGAGGTCCAAGTAGTTGAGCTGGTACGAAGTGGTGAGGCCTTGGGGAATTTCCCCTGTAAATTTGTTGAATCCCACGTCCAGAGCAACCAGCGGCATGTTCGTAAACGGCTGCAAGCTGCCCGAGAAGTTGTTGTGGCTCAACAACATGATTAGGCCATCAAGCGCTTTATCCGAAGACAAGCAGTTGGCTGGAACAGTTCCAGTCAGGCGATTGCGCGAAAGATCAATTCTTTCAAGAGTGCCCGATCGGCACAAGGTCTCTGGAAAGGAGCCTGAGAACAGATTCCCCGAAACGTCGAGAAGTACCGCGAATCTGTTGAACTGAATTGTGCTTAAGCTTCCGGTCAGCCTGTTCCCGCTCAAGTCAAGGTTCACGGCGTGTATTTGCTGCCCGCTCAGGTCGCCGGAAAGCTGGTTGTGATCCAACGCAAGGTATGACACCTTTTTTAGCAAAGCAGGGGGGATATCCCCAGATAGCCGATTCCAGTTCAGACCTAACACCTTCAGCATCGGCAGCGTCGCCAGCGTGGGAGGAATGGGGCCGGACAGCCTATTAACCGCGAGGTCCAGAGCAGCTAGCGAAGCCATCGCGGCGTACGAAGCAGTTCCTTGTGGTAACCCGCCAGAGAAGAAGTTTTCCGTCGCTGCCAGGCTGGAAAGATTTGGCAGGCGAAAAAAGGCGACGGGAAGAGGACCGGCGAAGCAGTTACCACTAAGATCGAGAGTTTTGAGCTTCGTCAGATGGGAAAGTGCTTGCGGGACCGCGCCGGCAAGCCACAGGTTTACCAAAGAGAGCTTCGTTAGACCCGTTAGTTGCCCGATCGACTCGGACAGGGTTGCGGGGAATTTTCCGCCGGGATCCCGCGCAGTACGGTTGCAAAGGCGAGGCGTGGTTGGGAGCGCGACGCTGAAGTCGCCATAGATGATTAGCTCGACAGCAGCACCATTCGTGGCGCATGACACGCCTTCCCAATCGCACGCGCTGGGCTCGTCCGTCGGAATAGGCAGCAACGCGGCCGTGAATATCGCCTTGAGAGCCGCCGTGGTAGCCGCGGAAGCCTGCGGCGAGGCTACAGATCCGCGCAACCCTAAACTCCTTGACTGGCTGTACCCGCCGCCGCTGGGCCCCCCCGCGGGTGTTTCCTCCGCCCGCCGCGTAGCAAGAAATTGCGCCGCGGGAGGCGGAACCATCCGCGCGGAGAGTCCTCGTCCGCGGCGAGCAGCAGGCCACTTCGATACAAGCTGCCTCGTTATGTGCCTGGAAGCCGTCGTCGGTGAGCAGTAAAGGAGCAACAGGAGGAGGAACGCTGCAGTACTAACGTGACCGCGCAACGCGCCGTGAAGAACGGAGATGGAACGCGCGACTCGAGGGTGATCTACGTCCGTCATGTGTGACTCCGAGTCAAGCGACTTCTAGCTTCTGAAATTTGTTCCCGTAAGAACCTACCAAGTCGAATGAAACCTGGAATGCCTTTCAGCGAGGAAGTTAAGGTAACTTATCTTGAAGGGAGTAGCGATAGGAGCTGAGATGGCGGTGAGTTGTCCTGAAGGTAAGGTGAGTGCTTGACATCCGCCCAATGAGTGTCCTCCACGGCAGTTTCCACGCCGGAAGACGCACCCGGCACTTTCGCGCCGGCTGCCGTGCGCATAACACACCGAGCCGCTATGCGCGTGCGCTAAATGTAAGTGATGCAGCGCAACACGTTGAACGCGTGGGCTTGGCCCGGCAGGCATTCGCCCTTCCAGACGGGTATACCACTAGCGGGAGCCACCATCACTGCCGTGCTGGGACGGCAGGTGGGTGGAAGTGGGAGGGGTTGAGTTGCAGCTCTGGGTTAGCTTGGGTTGGGTTCGGTTGCGCAGGTTTTGTTTGGGCTATTTAGCGGAGTTGGGCTGGGTTGGGTGAAGACACCAAGAGGGTTTGGAGCGAAAGGTGATTGGACAGGAAAGGTTTGGCATTTTGGGTAAGATACGGGAGTTATGAGAGTGAAGACATTTGTGAAAGGTCAAGTGCGGTGCAATAGCGCTATTACAGAAGTTTGATGCAGCACGTGGCTCTGGCGCCGTTCCCGAAATGAGGAATGCTCCCAATAATCGTCTTCTTCGCAGAATTCGCCGAATCGTCGGTGTTGGGCAAAGGTGCACCCGCTCGAAAGGAATTCGACCACGTTCAGTAACAATTATGACCCCATTTCAGGAGCATTGACTCGGCCAGTCAGTGTGTCTATAGTTGGGAACTCTCGCAGATGACATTGGCGACAATGGTGACCAGCAAAATGTCGACCTGTTTTTCGAACCGAAATTCATTTGCTCGCTTGTCACGAACTCTATAGGAACCATTTAGCCCTTCAGGAAGCACCAGGTGTAGCATGGAGGACATAGAGCAATAGAGCTGAAATGCCATGACGAGCACCATGTTTTATATGTTACCGAATCCCTGCTTTTTAGTCGACTCAGAAGTTGAAGTTGAAGTCAGTGGCGTACGCTTGCGCGCTTCCTTTCAGTTTCCTGAATTCCCCAAGCGCGTAAAATCTCCTTTCATAGGCTCCCTCTCGCTCGTTACCGCTTTATTCGCCGCTTCGTTCATCAGCATCGCGTTGTCGATAGTTCTGACGACACCACGAGTGACTTACAAGCATTAAGCGTTCCGGTCAGTTCGAGTCGCAAGGATGCTTTTTCGCTATTGTCACACGGCGGTACCATGGCCAGTCTGCTGGAGCGGACGGAGATCGGCGCGCTTGTATCGGAAAAGAGGGAGATTATATCGGTGCCCGACACCGCCACTGTACTGGACGCTCTCGAGGTAACAGGACATGCTGCGGTGGGTTGGTACAGACGTGCTTATAACGAGGGGGCTTGTAATGTGTTTAGTGAATCATTTGTACACGCACACCACTGTTCGCTCTTGCTTCTCCCTCCCCCGCGTCCCTCCCCGCGTCCATATTCCCTTCTTCCCCCGTGCTTCCCATGTCCTTGCACCTCTCTCTCCCTTTCTTCCGCGCATCTCCCAATTCCTCTACCTCTCCCCGCCCTCCTCCTCCATTCCTCCTCTTCCCCCTCCCGCGTCACCCCCCTCCTCCTTTCCCCCCAGCTGATGAACGCGAACGGCATAGTGGCGCTGCCAGTGGCGGCACCGCCGGGGAAGTGGCTGGGGGCGGGCGGGGCGAACATCGTGGACGGGGAGAAGCAGTACATTGTGAGCTTATGGCAGTAGCTTATAACGAGTTACAGTGTGAGCTGGTAGCGCCGCTGTGAGCTGGTGCTGGTCGTGTGGTGTGAGGTAGCAAGGAGTCACAGGCTATGGAGTCTTCTGTTGTTACAGTGTCAGCTGGTACCAGTTTGAGCTGGTAACAGCAGCTTATAACGAGTCAAAGAGGATGATGGAGTTCTATTGTTGTAGCAGCGTGAGCTGGTAACAGCAGCTTATAATGAGTCACAGTGCATGGGGCAAATGGTTACAGCGGTGTGAGCTGGTAACAGCACGTTGTATCCACGAGGCCTCTAGTACGCAGCAGTTGTGATCTGGTAAAATCTGGTGAAGGAGACACACTAACAGGGCTGTGGTTAATATGGTGTGATGGGTGTACGTGTGAGTTGTACTGCATTTCTTCTCTTCCTTTCCGCCCGCCCGCTGTGGTGGCAGGCATGGCAGATGCGGCAGTGCGCGCGGCGAGGGGAAGAGAGAGAGACCTTGTCCTTGCTACCTCCCCCCTCTGCTTCCCTGTCACTCGTCTCCTCCCTCCCAACGCGCCTACCCTCCCTCCAATTCCCACCAGGGGTGGTGAGCCTCATCGGCAGACGTGGCAATGCATGTGGTGAGGGAGGCAGCGAGGCCAGCAGCGCTCAAGGCGAGGGTGGTGAGTCTCGTCGGCAATTTGCCCGAGGGCATCTCTCTCTGGGTCGCCTCCAGCTCCACGCCGTGAGTTGCGAGTTCTGAGTTTTGAGTTTTGAGTTTTTAGTGTCGAGTTTCACATTTCAGGTTACGAGTTTTGATGCGCCTCAAATGTCGTTTTGGTCTCCTCCAGCTCCACGCCGTGATCTCCCAGGGCGAGGAGTCTCTGCGGCCTCTTTCCTGTCTGGCAGATGCCACGGAACCATTAGGCAAAGGCATTAACATATTGCAGCTCTGTTGAATCCCCTCATCTTCCCCATCTCCTGCCCAATTGTCTCGTCCTGCCCCATTTTCTCGTCCTGCCCCATTGTCTCCCCCTTGCCCACTTGCTCCCTCTCGATCCCACTCTGCCCAGTCTGGTAGACGACATGGAGCCGATAAGCAAGGTCACTCACAGGCTGCTCGTGCGCTGCCCCACTCTCTCCCCTTTGCCCACTCTCTTCCTCTCGCCCACTCTCTTCCTCTCGCCCACTCTCTTCCTCTCGCCCACTCTCTTCCTCTCGCCCACTCTCTTCCTCTCGCCCACTCTCTTCCTCTCGCCCACTCTCTTCCTCTCGCCCACTCTCTTCCTCTCGCCCACTCTCTTCCTCTCGCCCACTCTTTCCCGCTTCGTCCCACTCTTCCTCCCCCCTCCTCCTCTTCCCTCCCCTCTCAGTCTGGTAGACGCCATGGAGCCGCTAAGCAAGGGCATTCACCGCCTGCTCGTGCGCTGCCCCATCGCCCCTGCTGCTGCCCCCCTTCCCTCCGCTGCCGTTCCTACTGCCATGACCTTCGGCCACGCCACCCCTGGGGCAGCAGAGACAGAGGAAACACCGGCAGAAGGAGCAGGAGGGGAAGCAGGAAAAGCGGAAGCAGCAGATGCTGCTAGGCCGGCAACAGGAGCAGAATCAGAATCTTCATCAGCACCCGCGGCTCTCAAGCACTCTTACCATTTCGTCTCTCAGACTGACGTGGCTGCCTTCCTGTTGCTCCACGTGGACGCCCTGGGTGACGTGGCACAGCGCACTGTGGAGCAGCTAGGCCTCGCGGACCCGCTCTTCCCGCCCCTCGCTATAGTGTCGGGCATTACAGTCACTGCCGCGCTCAGGCTCATGCAGCGCGCGGGTGGCGTGAGAGCGGTGGCGGTGGTGGCGGGGAGTGCGGAGGAGGAGGAGCGGATGGAGGAGGGCGAGGGTTCGGGAGCTGCTGCTGGTGCTGCAGGTGCTGGTGGTGCTGATGTGACAGGAGGTGGAGGGGGAGGAGGGGGAGGTGGGGGAGGGAGGGGGAGGTGGGGGAGGAGGGGGAGGTGGGGGAGGGAGAGGGGTGAGGCGGGGTGGGTGAGGGGGGGGGCGGCTGCTGGGGACTCTGTCAGTGTCGGATTTGCTTTGCGGGGCATGGACGCCGAAACACTACCACAGCTGACATCCATGAAGGTGTGAGAGAGAGCAATCGAAGCACCTGTGTGCTCCGTGTGTGTGTGAATGCCTGCTGCACGGTGTCGGATTTGAGGGGCATGGACGCAGAGATCCCAGCTCAGCTAACGTCCATGGGGGTGAGGGCTGCTTTTTTTTTGGGCTGCTCTCTTTTGAGTCGACTCAAAAAGGGGGCCGGCTGCTGGGGACTCTGTCAGTGTCGGATCTGAGGGGCATGGACGCTGAGACCCTGGCACAGCTCACTTCCATGAAGGTGAGGGATGCTTCACGCACGTGTGATGCAGCCACATGTATGGTTGGATGCAGCACGTGTGCTGTGTGCTGATTGTGGGTGTCGGCTGTGGAGGCATGGATGGGAAGGGTTGGCTCGCATGCATGAAGGGTGGAGATGGGTGATGCAATGCAAGGTGGGTGGGTGAGGGGTGTGGCATGACAGTCAGCGGTGCTGCGGTGTACACGACACGCGAAAGGTGGCAACTGTTTACGCCTGATACTTGAAGCACCACTCTTATGTGCTCCACTTCTCCTCTGCTGTTCCCACTTTCCCCGCACTGCCATCCCCCCACCCCCACAGGTGCGGGACTTTCTCGCGCACATGGCATCACCCTCCCCCGGGGGTCGCCGGCCATCCATCACGTGCCGCATGGCTGCCCCACTGGCGGAGGTGATGGCGCTGGCAGCCACCAACCGCGTGCACCGCGTGTGGGTGACGGGCGAGGAGGACGAGCTGCTAGGGGTGGTCTCCCTCACGGATGTCATTGCTGCTTGCAGACGGGCGGGTGGGCAGCGGTAGGGCAGCAGGGAAAGCATGAGTGGTGGTGATGGCGCTGGCAGTGACCAACCGCGTGTGGGTCACCGGGGAGGATGATGAGCTGCTGGGGGTGGTTTCGTTGACCGATGTCATCTCTGCTTGCAGACGGGCATTGGTAGTGAGGAGGCAGAGAGGAGGGGTCTACAGGAGGAATGGAGCAGGGTGGTTGGACAGGGGAATGGATGGTAAAGGTGGGGGGGGGATTAGTGGCTGGTGGGAGGAGAAGGCATGAGGGGTGGTGATGGCGCTGGCAGTGACCAACCGCGTGCTCCGAGGAGGATGAGCTGTTAGGTGTGGTTTCATTTCTGCCTGCAGACGGGCAGGCGGACAGCAGTAGGGCGGCAGGAGGGATTCAGGAGGAGGCAGATGGAGCTGGATGGCAGGAGAGAGGAATGGAAAGTTGTGTGGATGGTAGGGGTGATGGAAGGATGGAAGGGAGGGTGGGGCATTGGTGGTTGGTATGGAAGGCACAAGTGGTTACCAAGTGTGTATACATGGAAGCTCAGAGTGTTGTGCGAGCTTGGAGCCGCGTTGCTTGCTGGCGTTCTTGTGGCATGCACAAGGGCGGAGGGTGGAGTGGAAACGGTAGCAGCAGCAGCACATTGATGGGTAGGAAGGGCATGCTAGTTGTTTCACTTGGCAACATTAGATGGGACTGTCCTGTACATCTTCCAGATGAACCTGAAATGTACCCTCATACATGCTCCAAGTCGTTCATTTGCTGCCAGTATGGCATCATCACCAGTACCCTACAGAGATGTCTGCATAGCATGGGTAGAGCACAGTTTCCCCGGAGCGTACGGTACGTGCTTCCCTTGCTTACTTCATGTTGAGCTACCGTTTCGGTATGGCATGGCAACACAACGATTACGGGTAACTGAAGGACTTCATATCATCAGACACTGTTGGGGAGGAAACGATGATTATCAAAAGGCAGAAGGCATCAACAGACAGCTAGAGTTGTGATGTACAAGAGAACCACCAACTGCGAGGCAATGTGAGATACGTATGTACAGTAAGCAGAGACTCGACGACACACACTTCACAGTTGGAACGCCAGTTTTGAACAAACAAAAAGCCCAAAGTTCACATAATGCTTTCACATCAAATGATGCCATTATGCTTTCAGCAGCAACAGCATGAGCAGCAGCAGAATTGGTACGATATTCAGACGCTGTGAGTGATGTGATGTGAGTGCTGCAGGGCAGATGATGCATGTTGCGAGGTGCTCAAAGCAGCATGCTCAACCTTTGCTGGGAACAGGGAGCTATAGTATCGTAGTGAGAGGGGGAAGGGGTAGGAAGAGGACGGGAGTCGATTGCACCAGCTGCAGCGACATGAGTTCCACCAGAAACAGTGGCACGAGTTGCAGCAGCAGCGGCACCACCACCACCACCACCACCACCACCACCACGATTTGCACGTGCAGCCGCAGCAGCAGCAGCAGCAGCAGCAGAAACACGATTTGCACGGGCAGCAGTAGCACGAGCAGCAGCAACAGCAGTAGCACGATTTGCAGCAGCAGCAGCATTAGCACGAGTTGCACCGGAAGCAGGAGCACGAGCAGCAGCAGCAGCAGAAGCAGCAGCACGATTTGCACGGGCAGCAGTAGCACGAGCAGCAGCAAAGCAACAGCAGTACCACAAATTGTAGCAGCAGCATTAGCACCAGGTGCAGCAGCAGCAGCACGAGGTGCTTAAAGCAGATGATGCGAGGTTGCGAGGTGCTCAAAGCAGCAGCGCGTCATCCCTTGCTGGGCACAGGGAGCTACAGTATCGTGGTGAGGGGAAAACGGCAGGAAGGGGAACGGAGTCGATTGCATCAGTAGCAGCAGCATGAGCTTCACCGGCAGCAGTAGCACGATAGCAGCAACAATTGCACGAGTCTCACCAGCAGCAGTAGCACGATTTACACGAGCCGGGAAGCAGCAGCAGCAGCAGCAGAAGTGGCACGAGTTGAACGGGGTGAAGTAGCACGAGCAGCGGCAGCGGCAGCGGCAGCAGCAGCACGAGTTACACGAGCCGCAGTAGCGGCAGCTGGAGCATGAGTTGCAACACCAGCAGTTGCACTAGCTGAATGGGAAGCAGTAGCAGGAGCAGGCACAACAGGATCAGCAGGAGGAGCAAGAGGAGCGGCAATTTCTGCAGCTGGTGGTCCATCCATGAGTGGACTGTCACAATAATTCTGGATAGAACATGCAAACGGAATGAAGAGGGAAATGGCAAGGGTGTCAGATCAAGTCCCTTGTGGAGGCGGACGTACAGAATTACGAAGGAGAAGTAAAATGAATATTGCGAAACAACTAGCACTGAAAATGCTAAAAAAGGAGTACATAGAAGAACCGTGCAACATTACTTGGTTGCAACCTGCAATAAATCAACAAGGAGCGACTCTAGGTTGCAAAATCATACTTGGTTCCCATAAAGCAGCACTTCTCAGACAATCCCCTCACCACAAAGTGCAAGTAACACGTAAGAAACCCCCACCACGCCAAAACGAACCAGGATGGCAACAAAGTGGTGTAATTGATTACCTCGATGATGATGTATCGGTCATCAGGTTCCATGCTCATGTCAGCCTCCGCACGTCCCATCAGCTCTTCTTGATCGACTTCGTCTCCCGCCTCCACCCACACCTCATTGCCTCGCTCATTCGGAATAACATCCTCCATAGGATATGGCCTGGCATTGGTCCTCCATACTCCGAAAAACATGGCCCTGAAGGGACAACCGTAGCAATAACAATGCACGTTCAAGAGTGAGTGAGTGTGTGTGTGTATGTGTGTGTGTGTGTGTGTTTGTGTGTGTGTGTGTGTGTCTGTGTGTGTGTGTGTGTGTGTGTATGTGTGTGTGTGTGTGCGTGTGTGTGTATGTGTGTGCAAGTGCGCGCTCGCGTCTGTGTCTGTGAGAGAGAGTGGGTGACAGAGAGAAGGGGAAGAGAGAGAAGAAAGGGAGAACAAAGACGAAAGGACGGGAGGCCAGCAGGATTGCAGTTGCGTGCACCTCGATGCAACAGTACCAGAATACGTAGGAAGCTTGAAAACAGTCTTGGTGTTATTATTGAAAAAGAATATGGTCTTTATACGTCCACTGGTCTCTGAATCGATTGTGCCAACCTGCGTTAAAACATGATTCAGTCAAATAGTTGCTCAGAGGGAAAACCAGAAAACGCGGTCATAAAAGGTCCATCTAGTGAAAGCTCCGCTTGCCTTCACAGCCTTGCGAAGTGTTGGATAGAATGCAACCGCAGGTCTGCTCTGAACTCACTTGAGATTTGCAAAACGGACACGATTCGCCTTCTACCAATAACTTGGCAGGAATGGTAAACATCCTGTTGGAAAGGTCAAGTGAGGAATTACAATTGTAACACAGAACATGGATGTAAAGCTAATGCTGAGCACATCAGAGATCTGGGCTCATCCACCCTAGGGCTTCCGCCCCCCGATCCAAACGTCAAAAGCTCCCGTGACACTCACAGTTACCATCCCGACCTTTAACGCGAAAGGGGAAGAAATGGAGCTTACGGTGAGATTATGGGAGGAGAAGAAAATCCTGTGCATGATTCGGACGTACACATCGTCGTGCACTCCCTCAGTTTTCCGCCACATGCAACAAGTTGAAAGTAGAGAGTGGCAACCGTCGTCCAGGGTCAGCACAAATGGACGAGAATGCAGGTGCGGTCCGCGAAGAGCATTTTCTTCCGCATCCGGAACGGCTTGCCAATCAGCAGCCGTCGTGTTGTCACCGTCAGCGTTGACGTCCCTCCAGGGTCTAAATTCCCTCCCTCTCAATACGGCACGCCTTACACCGGGGCACCAATTTAACAACTTCCCGAAGGCTTTGATATCTTCGCTTTCCATTGCGTTCACCACCTTTTGAACACTTTCAAGATTGAGCGTGTCAGCTGTATCCTCGATTTTGACATTCTCCGCAGCTGGTCACGGCAGTGCCAATACCACAGCTGCTCGTCCGCCATACGTCTAAACTTGTTTGAGAGACAAGCGAGCTGAGCAATGAGTGGTCCCGTCGGTTGAGCACGCTCGAGGATGTCGTAAACAAGTTCAGCGGGAAGAAGTTCCATGATGCTTAAACAGACAAGTTTTAGATTGAGGATGAACGGAAGGCTGCTGAAGATGCACGGAATAGGCTGAGGCTAAAGTGGAGGAGAATTTTCTGCTGCCAAAGATGGGAGCAGTCGAGGGAAACTGTGCCTGACAGGGAATCCGGCAGGGCATTGTTCCCATCGCCCGGAGAGGTACCGTAGCTCCGACAATACCTAGGTGGCGATCGTCTAGAAGTGCGAACGGGATGACGATTCTTTGGGCCATTGAAACCTTCGATGCGCGAGTAATGACCTCGGGGTTATACTTAGGAAAAAACTAATCTCGATGCTCGAACCAAGGAGAACTATCGAGATTTGAATCTGCAATAGAGTATTCGATTTCTATGTCATTCTCAGCAATGCGAGAAGCAGAGGATGTGCTGAAACCTGCACTGAGGTGCTTCATGTCTTGCCCAGGCATGCGAGCTTGGAAACTGCGGTGGTGAAGGCGAGAAAGGAACTCGAGACCATATAGCTTGAGCGAAGCGGCTGGCGAAACAACATGATGAATGAGTGTTACGCGGGAATCTCAGATTTGGCCTTAAAATGGCTCGTTCGCGAAGACAGGTCCCTAGGCATGCGACTTTGAAACCGCGTTCGCGAAGATAGCCCCCTACAAGGAACTCGAGACCGGCGAAGTGGCTGGCGGAACAACGTGATGAGATCAACAAGTGTTACGCGGGAATCTCGATTTTGGCATAAAAATAACTATTTTTACAAGTCACTGAAGTGACATGCTTGGCGATGTCTAGCAGGAAAATGGTGTTGCGGAACCGGCACTGAGTGCCACACGGGCTTGCCCTAGGCATGTAAGCTTGGGAACTGCATTGGCAGGCTTGCGAAGCCACCCCCTGCGAGGAACTCGAGGCATGATAGTTTGAGGGAATTCGTTGGCAAAAAAACATGATGAACAAGGGTTACGTGGGCATTTCGGATCTGGTCTGGAAGTGACTCGTTATACAGGTACAGTCAAGTTCCCTTGTTTAACTTATGCTCTTGTTCTCCTAATGGCCCCAAATGTGGGTCTCACACGGTGTCATGTCAAGTGATGGGGATTGAGTTACTGGAAAGTCTATGGACAATTTTGGCTACTACAACCAACGCTCGACGGACGGCTCAGCGTGAAAGAGGGGAATCATTACTCAACACCGTTGCAGAGCTACGCATAGTATCAACCATCTCCAGTACTTGCTCCCCATTCTCACCACACATTCAGGAATCACCTCCTGTCTTTCCTGTGCAAGCATGCCACCGCTCCCCTCCTCCCACCACCACCCGTCCGTTCATCCACCTTCACCCACACGTCCTCTGCCCCCACACACACCCACCGGCCCTCCCCACCCGCCCACACACTGCCCTTCCCTGCCACCGTCACCAGCGGCTGCCGCCACCGAGTCATGAAATGGAGGTGGCACAGATTCCTGCCCCACTGAACCCTGCCCCACTGGACCCTGTCCCGAATGCCGATGCACCATCAGGTGTGCCAGCACAAAGTGGTGCAGCGACGGGGCTGGACCCCCATCACTTCTCCCACCGCTACACCACCCCCCCCCCCTCCCACCGCACCTCATCCTCCCATACCACTGCTTCTGCAGCCCCTCCCGTTTCCCCTCCTCCTTTCCCACCACACCCCTCCCCACACGCTTCTCCACGCCCCTCCCCATCTCCATCCCCCACACCAGCCACTGGAAGTGAGTCGACCACTCGTTTTGATAACCTCTCAGTGGGTGAGGCTCCATCTGCCACACACCCTGCTTGTGCCGCCACCCGCGCCTCTCCCCCTCCCCTCTCATCCCTCGCATCACCCATCCCTAACCCTTCCATGCCTCTGCGCACTCCTGCAAACACACCCTTCGCCCCACTGTCCGCTTCTTCTCCGCCTGCTCCCCAAATTTTCTCCCGTTCCTTTCCAGTACGACGGTAATAGCCCTGGTGTTGGGTCAAGCAGCTCCGAACCAAGAGCGGGGTAGAATGCCAAGCCTGGCCCAGAGGTTCGGGTGAAATGCTCCTCGTCGATAGAGACTATCCGAGGCACGACTGCGGCATTGAGAAACACTGTGTGGCTGCTGGCACGGGTGCTGGCACGGGTGCTGGCATTGTTGCTGGCATTGTTGCTGGCTTGGGTGTTGGAGGTAGCAACAAGAGGCATGCTACCTGCAGCAGGCATAGAGAGTGCAGCTGGTGCAGCCATGGCAGCCCGTTCAGCTGGACGAGTGGCATCAGCACAGCAGCCATGCGACGCTGGGTCACAGCCTCCCCTTGCCGAGTGGGGGCAGTGTGAGGGGTGCTGAGGAGGCTGGAGCGGGAGCGGTAGTTGAAGGGGAAGAGGTCGCGGTGCATGTGGCCAAACACCACCAGTGGGATGTGCCGCCTGTCCTCCAGTGATGCTGTGATTGCCCTGGATAGATCTGGGGGGAAGAATTGCACGAAAGCATGGGGGTGGAGAGGGGACAACACGAAGATAGATAGATCATTGCATTTTAGCGCAACACCAGAGCTGCTGTGATAAGGTTTAGGCTGCTTGGGAGGGGGAGTGGGAGAAGAGAGCATCGTGACTTGATGCGCCTAGTTACCATGGAGTGGTGACGACACATCAGTCCATGGGGAGATAGGATAGGAGGATGCGAGGAAGGGATGGAAAACAAAACATGGGGAAAGGGATGAATGGAGACGAGAGAAAGGAGGTAAAGAAAGAGAGGGAAGGCATTGCACAGTAGCCAATCACCCGCCTCAACTTCCCTCCTTTCCCTCCGTCACCATGACGCACCCCTATTGATCTTGAATCCACTTCCCCAATCCACCTCACCTTCGTCTCCAAAGTCTCCCCCTGGCGGCAGCCCTTTGGAGGGAAAGTCCGTGCCACAGATATCCCACGGGTGGGAGCCCAGGCCTGAGAAGCAGGGAGCAAGGTGGGGCGGGCGGAACAAGGGGAAGGGCATTTGCCAGGAGTCTCCCCCTGGTGGCATCCCTTTGAAAGGGGAGTCCTCCTTGGTGCCTAGGTGGGGGAAAGGAGGGCGAAGGCAGACAGAAGGAAACGAGTGAACATGTACACACATATATATAAAAAAGGGCGAATAAATTAGAAGCCGTCCGACAAACATGACGACCCGTCTCACCGGCAGGCCCGTTGTGTGCGAGGACGACAACGCTGTGCCCCTCCGGTGCTGCTCGGATGGTCTCTGTGATCTTTGCCGTGTTGGCGTTCATGCTGCGCACTCCACACCTGATGGCGTGTGGTCGCACTCCACTCGACGCATGGGTGGTTCTTATCATACGGACTTTGATGATTGGCAAAAAACAGCCACGAACGGGTATACCTACTGCGTTACAACGATTACAACGATTCTGCATCTTACAACTTCTCTTTGTTCCCCTCCCCACTGCAACCTCCTCTCTGTAGTAGTCTGCACCTGCCACTGCAACAACTGCACCTGCCACTGCAGCATTGATGCTCCTGCCATCCCACGATCCTCTCTGCACCTTGAAACCTTTCTGCACCTGTCTGCACCTTGAAACCTCTCTGCACCTGTCTGCACCTTGAAACCTCTCTGCACCTTGAAACCTTTCAGCACCTGTCTGCACCTTGAAACCTCTCTGCACCTTGAAACCTCTCTGCACCTTAAAACCTCTCTGCACCTTGCCACATTACTCCCCACCTGGCGCAGTAGAGCCCCACCTGGCAGGTAGAGCCCCACCTGGAGCGGTAGAGCCCCACCTTGCGCGGTAGAAGCTCTTAGCCCAGCTGGAGGGGCCGTAGGAGAAGGGGCGCGCTCCCACGATGGACAGGTGCGACTGGGGGAGGTCCACCCGCCCGTACCCCACGTGCAGACTTTCGAGGAGGCTGGGAGGATGGAGATGGGGGAAGAAAGAATGGAGCAAACGATTGCAAGATGCGAGATGGTAGTAAGAGCGATTCAAGTGAACGGCAGGCGAGAGAGAAAGCAGACTTGAGACAAGAAAGGATGAGATGACGGACGAGAAGGAGGGGTCAGTGTGTTAATAGCAGGAAAGTAGGAGCAGGTGGAACATGGTGGCAGGAGATTATGAGACCTGATAGGAGACAATGCGTATAGAATGGAGATTAGCAAAGCAGAAGAGCAGGAGTGCAGCAGAGAAGGTGAGCAGGAGAGCGGGTGAGCGAGAGGTAGGGGAGAGCATACGCTTCAAGCTGCTGAGTGAGCTTATCCACTGCATCCACCAGCGGCGCACGCTCCTTCCTGCATATAGAAACCATGGATGAGGGCGAATCTGAACATGAGAGATCGAAAACGAACAGGATGCCATGACACATGTTGCACAGCAGTGAATGGGTGCAAGGCTTGAGTTGAGGCACACAGGGTTGTGAAGTTCACCCGCATGACATTTGGCATTTCTGATCACATTGACGCCAACAGTGCCCATGACGCCGAGTCCGGACAACCCAACGCCACACGCACAGCAATTTGCCGAGATTCTGCAAGCTGCCCGCACCAGAGCCGCAGAAGCAATGAAAAAAGCCAACGTCATCGCCAAACGCAACGCTGACCGCCACCGCCGCCCAGTCACGTACCAGTCAAGAGATTACGTCCTGCTCGACACGCAGAACTTAAGAATGCCCATCGTACCGAAATTACGACCGCGCTACTGTGGGCCATTCCAAATCAGCCTCATGATCACTCCAGTTACCGCCCATCTACTGTTGCCGACAAATTGGTACATCAGCCCATCGTTCCACGTCAGCCTGCTTCGCCCTTACATCCCAACCACGAGCCAATTGCCTCGTCACCGCCCACCATCCATGACTCGCCCTGCATCGGAGCCGATCATTGAGCCCGAGAAGATTCTGAGCCATCGGATTCGACACCCCATAGGCATAAAGAGGATCGAGTTCCTCGTTCGCTGGAAGGACCGCACGCCAACTGAGGATAGCTGGGTGCCCCTGGCCAACATCGAAAGCCACCCTGCCCTGCAAGTGTACTTGAAGAGCCGGGGTTTCCGCGATGTACACGCACTCGCATAGCGGAGGGGGCTTCTTGAGGGGGGGGGGGGGGGTAGTGTAAGGAATTTTCTCGCTATTCCTTACTGCGACCGTCAACATCGCGTACAGCCGCAACCGTTGTTCGCCTGTTACTGCTAACGGGGCTTCGCCAACTTCGCGCGCACTGTTTCACCAAACCTTGCATCGCTGGCCCAGCCGAGTCGGCCTACGCTTTGGGACTAGCCCGATCCTCCATGCCAGCGTAGCACTAGCTAGCTCGCACGCACCGCGTAACCGTTGCATGTTTCGCACATAAGTATTCGCTCATGCCTTCGCTCATACTTGGTACTCGTTGAACACTCTAGTGCAATCCTCGCTACTTCAATCCATTGCACCCGTAACAGTAAGTAACTCGTTGTACATGTTAAGTCATGTTCCAATTAAAGTCCTTAAAGCCCGCGTCCCAAATTGCGGGCCGCGAGGGTCAAGTTTTTAAAACTTGACGAAGTTGAGTGTCCAAGCTTTTGAAAGTCACGCACTTGCAATTTGGGACTTTCGAAGACAGATTCACTCACCAGGGGAAAAACCGAGGGTTGGCTGGGTCTCGCGAAAAAAACGAACCTAGACGAAACTGGAAACTCTCGCCACAGCCCACACCAGAAAAACTCCCTCTGGTCAACTTTTAAAAGCATGAACGATTTGGGCCGCCGGCTTTAAGGTATACTCATGTTCTCCTGACGTCTTCAAATGTGGGCCTCACATGGTGTCAGATGATGGTGATTAAATTACTGAAAGGTATATGGACAACTTTGGTTACTACAACCAGCGCTCAACTGATGGCTCTTCGTAAAAGAGAAGGATCAATATAAATTCCAGAGACACAAACGCATGCCCATCCTCCATCCCATTCGACTCTGTTGTAAAGCTATGCGTATCCACCACCTCCAGTATTTGCTCCTCATTCTCACCACACATTCAGGAATCACCTCCTGTCTCTCCTGTGCAAGCACGCCACCACTCCCCTCCTCCCATCACCACCCGTCCGCTCGTCCACCTTCACCCACACGTCCTCTGCCCCCACACACACCCACCGGCCCTCCCCACCGCCCACACACTGCCCTTCCCCGTCACCGTCACCAGCAGCTGCCACCACCGAGTCACCCAACGAAGGCAGCACAGATTCCTGCCCCACTGGACCCTGCCCCGCCTGTCCCTGCCCCACTTGCCCCTGGCCCACCTGCCCCTGCTCTAATGGTCCCTGAACCGCCAGGTGTGCCAGCACAAAGTGGTGCAGCGACAGGGCTGCACCCCCATCCCTTTCCCCCATCACTTCTCCCACCGCTACACCATCCACCCCATCCCACCGCACCTCATCTTCCCACACCACTGCTTCTGCTGCTTTTCCCCTTTCCGCTCCCCCTTCTTGACCACACATCTCCCCACACCCCTCCCCAACCACATGCCCCTCGCCACGCCCCTCCCCATCATCACCCCTCACACTAGCCACCACTCGTTGTAATAGCATCTCAGCAAGAGAGGTGTCATCTGTCACACACCCTGTTTGCACCGGCACCTGCGCCTCCCTCTCTCCCTTGCCATCCCTTGCATCACCCATCCTTAATCCCTCCATGTCTCTGCATACGCCTCTCGCTATACCCTCTGACCCACTGCCCCCTCTCCCTTCCACTCCTTTCAGGTACGGCAGAAATAGTCCTGGGGTTGCGTCGAGCGGCTCCGAACCAAGAGCCGGGTACACTGCCAAGCCCGGCCCAGAGGTTTGGGTGAAATGCTCCTCGTCAAGAGAGACTATTCGAGGAACAACTGCAGAATTGAGAAACACTGTGTGGCTGCTGGCTTGGTTGCTGGCATAGGTGCTGCCATGGGTGCTGGCATAATTGGTGGAGGGAGCACTAATACCAGCAGCTGGCATAGAGAGTGTGGCTGGGGCAGCGACGTTAGGCTGTGCAGCAGGCGGAGTGGCAGTGGCTGGAGGGGAAGCAGCAGATGAGGGGAGAGGTGGGGAATGAGGGTGCAGCAGCACAGCAGCCATGCGGCGCTGGGTGACAGGCTCCCCTTGCCGCGTGGGAGCAATGTGAGGGGCGCTGAGGCGGTTGGAGCGGGAGCGGTAGTTGAAGGGGAAGAGGTCGCGGTGCATGTGGCCAAACACCACCAGTGGGATGTGCCGCCCGTCCTCCAGCGATGCTGTGATTGCTCGTGACAGGTCTAAGGGGAAAGGAGTGCATGGAAGGAGGGAAGAAAGTGTGGTTGAAGGGGAAGTGGTCGCGGTGCATGTGGCCAAACACCACTAGGGGGATGTGCCGCCCGTCTTCCAGCGATGCTGTGATTGCCCTGGATAGATTTGGATAGGAAAAAGGCATGGAAGGACGAGGGGAAGAGGTTGAAGGAGCCGTGGAGATGCACGTGACTACTGAGGGAGCAGGCCAGAAGGAGGATGTGGGGCTTGTCTGCCGGAGCTGCTTTGATTGCTCGTGAGGAGGCTGCTTGGGAGGTAGTGTGGGAACTTGACCACGGTGCGATGGGGAGATGAAGGGCGGGAGTGATGTGTAGCGCCCAGGGATAACTCATGGGAGGGAGAAAAGAGCAGGGGGGAAGGAAGAAGGGAGACGAGAGGAAGGAAATGGAAGGAATGAAAGCACCACAGAGCACCCAATTAACCCTTCCGCCTGTCCCCTCCTCTCATCACCTTAATGCCCAGCGTCATTTCCTTGACGCCAACCAACCCCCTCCCCCCCCGTCCCCCCCCCCTTCACCCCCTTCCCTCTCACCTTCGTCCCCAAAGTCTCCCCCCGGCGGCAGCCCTTTGGAGGGGAAGTCCTTGCCACATATGTCCCATGGGTTGGACCCCAGACCTGGAAGGGAGGGAACAGGGCGAGGGCAGGAGGAAAAGAAGGGAGGGCGTTTGAAGGATAGGACAATCAGAAATGCCATCTCACAATGACACGGCGCATTGGCATCACATGCCAAGGCATCTCATTCAATGTCATCACATGCCAAGGCATCTCATTCAATGTCATCACATGCCAAGGCATCTCATTCAATGTCATCACATGCCAAGGCATCTCATTCAATGTCATCACATGCCAAGGCATCTCATTCAATGTCATCACATGCCAAGGCATCTCATTCAATGTCATCACATGCCAAGGCATCTCATTCAATGTCATCACATGCCAAGGCATCTCATTCAATGTCATCACATGCCAAGGCATCTCATTCAATGTCATCACATGCCAAGGCATCTCATTCAATATCATCACATGCCAAGGCATCTCATTCAATGTCATCACATGCCAAGGCATCTCATTCAATGGCATCACATGCCAAGGCATCTCATTCAATGTCATCACATGCCAAGGCATCTCATTCAATGTCATCACATGCCAAGGCATCTCATTCAATGTCATCACATGCCAAGGCATCTCATTCAATGTCATCACATGCCAAGGCATCTCATTCAATGTCATCACATGCCAAGGCATCTCATTCAATGTCATCACATGCCAAGGCATCTCATTCAATGTCATCACATGCCAAGGCATCTCATTCAATGTCATCACATGCCAAGGCATCTCATTCAATGTCATCACATGCCAAGGCATCTCATTCAATGTCATCACATGCCAAGGCATCTCATTCAATGTCATCACATGCCAAGGCATCTCATTCAATGTCATCACATGCCAAGGCATCTCATTCAATGTCATCACATGCCAAGGCATCTCATTCAATGTCATCACATGCCAAGGCATCTCATTCAATGTCATCACATGCCAAGGCATCTCATTCAATGTCATCACATGCCAAGGCATCTCATTCAATGTCATCACATGCCAAGGCATCTCATTCAATGTCATCACATGCCAAGGCATCTCATTCAATGTCATCACATGCCAAGGCATCTCATTCAATGTCATCACATGCCAAGGCATCTCATTCAATGTCATCACATGCCAAGGCATCTCATTCAATGTCATCACATGCCAAGGCATCTCATTCAATGTCATCACATGCCAAGGCATCTCATTCAATGTCATCACATGCCAAGGCATCTCATTCAATGTCATCACATGCCAAGGCATCTCATTCAATGTCATCACATGCCAAGGCATCTCATTCAATGTCATCACATGCCAAGGCATCTCATTCAATGTCATCACATGCCAAGGCATCTCATTCAATGTCATCACATGCCAAGGCATCTCATTCAATGTCATCACATGCCAAGGCATCTCATTCAATGTCATCACATGCCAAGGCATCTCATTCAATGTCATCACATGCCAAGGCATCTCATTCAATGTCATCACATGCCAAGGCATCTCATTCAATGTCATCACATGCCAAGGCATCTCATTCAATGTCATCACATGCCAAGGCATCTCATTCAATGTCATCACATGCCAAGGCATCTCATTCAATGTCATCACATGCCAAGGCATCTCATTCAATGTCATCACATGCCAAGGCATCTCATTCAATGTCATCACATGCCAAGGCATCTCATTCAATGTCATCACATGCCAAGGCATCTCATTCAATGTCATCACATGCCAAGGCATCTCATTCAATGTCATCACATGCCAAGGCATCTCATTCAATGTCATCACATGCCAAGGCATCTCATTCAATGTCATCACATGCCAAGGCATCTCATTCAATGTCATCACATGCCAAGGCATCTCATTCAATGTCATCACATGCCAAGGCATCTCATTCAATGTCATCACATGCCAAGGCATCTCATTCAATGTCATCACATGCCAAGGCATCTCATTCAATGTCATCACATGCCAAGGCATCTCATTCAATGTCATCACATGCCAAGGCATCTCATTCAATGTCATCACATGCCAAGGCATCTCATTCAATGTCATCACATGCCAAGGCATCTCATTCAATGTCATCACATGCCAAGGCATCTCATTCAATGTCATCACATGCCAAGGCATCTCATTCAATGTCATCACATGCCAAGGCATCTCATTCAATGTCATCACATGCCAAGGCATCTCATTCAATGTCATCACATGCCAAGGCATCTCATTCAATGTCATCACATGCCAAGGCATCTCATTCAATGTCATCACATGCCAAGGCATCTCATTCAATGTCATCACATGCCAAGGCATCTCATTCAATGTCATCACATGCCAAGGCATCTCATTCAATGTCATCACATGCCAAGGCATCTCATTCAATGTCATCACATGCCAAGGCATCTCATTCAATGTCATCACATGCCAAGGCATCTCATTCAATGTCATCACATGCCAAGGCATCTCATTCAATGTCATCACATGCCAAGGCATCTCATTCAATGTCATCACATGCCAAGGCATCTCATTCAATGTCATCACATGCCAAGGCATCTCATTCAATGTCATCACATGCCAAGGCATCTCATTCAATGTCATCACATGCCAAGGCATCTCATTCAATGTCATCACATGCCAAGGCATCTCATTCAATGTCATCACATGCCAAGGCATCTCATTCAATGTCATCACATGCCAAGGCATCTCATTCAATGTCATCACATGCCAAGGCATCTCATTCAATGTCATCACATGCCAAGGCATCTCATTCAATGTCATCACATGCCAAGGCATCTCATTCAATGTCATCACATGCCAAGGCATCTCATTCAATGTCATCACATGCCAAGGCATCTCATTCAATGTCATCACATGCCAAGGCATCTCATTCAATGTCATCACATGCCAAGGCATCTCATTCAATGTCATCACATGCCAAGGCATCTCATTCAATGTCATCACATGCTCTCCTCGCTGCACGGCCGTTGCGAGCCCAGCAGTGAGCAACAATGATGGGAGATGGCTGGTCTGGAACTGCTCTGGAACGAGACATGGAGCTGAATCTGTGGCACTGCGACATGATGACACCCAGATCCACTATGCCCCACCATGCCCCACCACGCTCCACGATCCCACCACCACATAGAAGCTCTTTCACCTGCGGGCCCGTTGTGTGCGAGGACGACAACGCTGTGCCCCTCCGGTGCTGCTCGGATGGTCTCTGTGATCTTCGCCGTGCTGGCATTCATGGTGCGCACTCCACACCTGATGGCACGTGAGGATACATGGATGGATGGGCGGGCGGGCGGGCGGATGGATGGGCGAATGTGTAAGAACAGCTTTGCAGTGCTGGCGTTGATGGTGCAGACGGCACACCGATGGTGTGTGGGGAGGGGATAGATAGATGGATAGATGGGCGAGAAACCGAAACATGGGTGCTTCTGATAATACGTGATTGAACACACCCACAACCTGCCACTGCAATCTCTCTGCACCTTACAGCCTCCTTTTGTTCCCCACGGCAACCCCTCTGTAGTCTGCAGCTGCCATCACAGCATTGCTGCCCGTGCCATCATTCCTGCACCTGGCGCGGTAGAAGCTCTTGGCTTAGCTGGAGGGGCCGTAGAAGAAGGGCCACGTTTTGAACCGTCTCAAACCTCTCTGCACCTTGCCACACCTCTGCACCCCCCACCTGGCACGATAGAAGCTCTTGGCCCAGCTGGAGGGGCCGTAGGAAAAGGGGCGGGCGCCCACGATGGACAGGTGCCACTGGGGGAGGTCCACCCTGCCATACCCCACGTGTAGGCTGCCGAGACTGGTGTGAGTGGTGGGGAAGGGGTGGAGAGGGAACGATGGGACAAGGAGAGAAAATGCACGTGACGGCTGCCTAGGCTGGTGGGTGGAGGAGAAAAGGTGGAGAAAGAATGATGGGAAAGGGGGAGGAAGGAACGGGGTTAAAGAGGAGAAAGGGGAGAAAGGGGATCACGGAAATGCGTTGGCGCTGGTGGAAAAGGCGAAGACAAGTGTTGCATCACATGGTATTGATCACGCAACAACAAGCCAAACATTCTATAAGCTTAACATTCGATACATTTATCGCGAAGAACAAGAACAGGTAAGTGAGGCATGGTGGCGAGAGATTATGAGTTTCACTAGTGAGAGCACGAGCATGCGAGGTGGTGGTGAGAGCTGGTGAGGGAATGGTGGTGAAAGAGAGGTGGAGTGAAAGAGGCGGTGGGAGTGCATACGCTTCCAGCTGCTGAGTGAGTTTATCCACAGCGTCTACCAATGGCGCACTCTCCTTCCTGCACGCCACACAGAGCAGCAAGACCAAGTCGGGCAAGGTGACAAAAGGATGGGGCACGGTGAGGACACATGTGGTGCGCGCGCTTATCCGTTGCGTGCCTCCGTGGCGCACCGGTCTTCCTGCGCTCGACACAGAGCCGCAGGAACAGTCGATAAAAGTAAAGCTGACAATGCATGGCAAAGGGCGCATGGCACGGGCTGCATGCGTTTCTCCATTGAGCCCACCAATGGTGCTCTGCCCTTACTGCATGCGAGAGTCGAGATAAGAAGATGAACGGAGTAAGGAGTCGTGACACACAAGGTGGCACGACAGATGTTGCAAGGCAGTGGAATGGGTGCAGGGAATTGACACACAGCATCGTGACAACCGCCTGCGTGAGATGCTGCACTTTTTAGCATGTTGCTTGTAACCACCTGAGGTCAAGAGCGTCACCTGAACTTGTGAACCATACCTAAATATGTGCGACCAAGCACCTGAACATGTGGAACCACCTGAACATGTGAAAGCACCTGAAAACCTGAAAGCACCTGAACATGTGAAAGCACCTGAACACCTGAAAGCACCTGAACATGTGGAACCACCTGAAAGCACCTAAACACATGAAAGCACCTGAACACATGAAAGCACCTGAACACATGAAAGCACCTGAACATATGAAAGCACCTGAACACGTGCAAGCACCTCAACACATGAAAGCACCTGAACACGTGAAAGCACCTGAACACATGAAAGCACGCACCTGAACACGTGAAAGCACCTGAGCACCTGAAAGCACCTGAACATGTGGAACCAGGCGTCATGGTTGCCGAGAATGACTGCCACCTCCACCTTCACGCCCACAGCGGCCATCATGGCCTTCACTGCCGCCACCTGCTGCACCAGCTGCACCTGCTCCTCTCCAAAGTCCCCTGCTCACCACGGGTTGGGCATGGGATGGTGCAGCTATAAACAGCGACTCAACAATAGCCGCACCACCTCCACCTGCGCGCCCACAGCGCCCATCATGGCTCTCACTGCCGCCACCTGCTGCACCTGCTCCTCTCCAAAGTCCCCTGCACGCCATGGGTTGGGAATAGGGTGGTGCGTGGGTCATGAAAGTCCCCCTGCACCCCTTGGGCCGACGATGGTCCGTGCAAGGGCGCACACATGATAATGTGCTTCTGTGGCTCCTCGGTGCGTACATGTATGCCCACACACGGTGCTGCGCACGGTCAAATCGGATGTTTTCTATAATTCCATCGCCTGCAGAAGACACGGCACACGCCCGGATTATCCTACCCCAAGGGGAGGGAACCACTAGCAAAGCGGAAGTTGCAGCTGTGATAGCAACAGCAATGTGAGCGCACGAACATAGCACGGGGAGCATGGAAGGTTATATCCACATGAAAGCAGAGGGTGGAAGCCAAGAGACAGCGATTTGGCAGGAGAAGAAAGGGGAAGGCTCACAGGGGGTTGGAAGGCAGGCGAGCAAGCAAGGGAGGGAAGGAGCAGGCACACACCGACAAAGAGAACGATGTCTGGCTGGCTCCCGGCAGCACACGGGGCCCCCAGGGGGAATCGTGGTGAGAAACCGTGACACACAGGAGGATCGTGGAGAGTATGGCAGGGGCGGAGACGAGGGGAGGGAGGGGGGGTGCGGGAGGAGGGTAATGCGCAATGAGTGAGGGGATTCGAACGAGGCGAGATGCCATGCGATGTGGCAAGGGACAGGCTTTTGAAAGTCGCAAAAGAACGAAGAAAGGAGAGGGGAGGAAGCAGTGACGTGGGAGTGAGACATGGGCGAGTGTGGGAGGGATGGCGGGCGGACGAGGGTGATTGAAAGGCAGGAGGTGGTGAGAGGAAGGAAGGGGATGCTGTTAGTATGATGGAAACAGCTAGTGAATGTCAATTGCAAGCATGCGACACGATACTTGGCCTGGATAAGTGGAGTGCTTTGGAAGTGGTGGTCATGTGACCTTGGCTTGAATTGAAAGCTTAATTTTGGAGGGCCAAGCCAATGCTGCTAATGTGAGTGAACGCTTAAACATGGTTGATGTGTGTGTGGCACTTCAAGAACGTGGTGAGGTGCAACGACTTGTAAGGCGCCTCAACCGAGCAAGCGAGCATCACCTTGAGGAGCTTTAGAGCAGCCAGATCCCGCCACGGATGCCACATGCCGTGCTGTGATTGGTGAACGAGGAGGATAGGTGAGCAAGCAAATGCACATGCTGGGGGTGACGTCATCAAGATGCATGTAATGTAACGATGGAGAGGAGCTCAACTCACTCGACTGTAACTGCAACTTGAAAAAACCTTGTACTTCAAAAGTGAGGCTCAGCCACGGGAATGAGCCCTGACATTCATCACTCTCGTCCTAGCTACACATACACGATGCGGGGTATATCTCGTGCTGCCACGTGGCAGAGGCTCCGCTCCCGTACCCACCAACCACTATCAACCCCGCAGCGACTGCTGCTGTCAGCTCACCACATCACCTACAGTCACCTACTCAGCGCATTTCCTATAATCACCTACTACTCACATCTCCTATACTCATAAACCCACCACATCTCCTGTAGGCTATAATCATTAACTCACCTCATCGCTTATAAAAACCAACTCACCACATCGCCTATAATCACAATACGAAGCCTCCCACCGCTCCTCGGACCGCCCCCTGAAGCCCCAACGGCTCCAGTCGCCGTAATTCCTGCATCCCCTCTCCGCATTTGCCTTCCATCCACATCAGCATCAACCCTAGACCGCGACAAGCAATCGCCCCCCATCGCACTTGACGATGCGAATGCCGCTGCGACAGTCGCGGGTTCATGTAACACTGACCTGCCTTCGCTACTCGAAACTAAGGATCGCGGATTAGTCCCTCGCAAAGAAGCTAAAGTGGGTGAAGAGAAGGAGCGGAAATTGCGCTGCGAGCAGGAAAAGCAGCGACCGTCGAAATAACCGGCGATACCTTGGAACCGAGACAACTGATGACACAATTGGATTTTTAGCTGAGCGTTAAATAAGTTGCATCTATCGTTAGGGACGGTGCGGGCAACGGCAGAGCTTATTCGCGGCCAACTAGTACCGTGTGCGAAAATATGTAATCGCAAGGTTCGCATGGGTTCGTGAACAGCAGGTAACATAGCCTGAATGCGGCGGTGGCGACTGAGACTGCAGCGATCCAGTGCGACAAAGTTGCCGAGTGTGGCGTGAGCGGGTACTCGCGCGGGGTTTAGGAGATTAAGGGACAGTTGCAGGCGTGTCAGATACGCTACTTGCGCAGCCTGGCAGTGCACAACGATGCTTAGGAAGGCATCATTCTTACAGTTCCATTTGATATAACTCCTAGGCTGATGGATTATATAGGAACAATGTAAAACCTTTTGACACAAGCTCATCATGGCAGTAATTCAAGGTTAACGTTTCCCTGCTAAACGCATGAAACAGCTACCGTATCAAGATTTTCCTGGGGACAGATGGTGAATAGTGCTACTAAATCGATGTCACCCAAGAGCCCTGCCCTTGCTGAAGCTTCTACTGCTCAATTGGTAATTGACATGATGCAGTCAACAACTTGACGAATCAATTGGTGGAGAGTGAGTAGTAGCCGTTGAAATTGATCTGTGTGAGCAGCTTGTGCACTTGCGGCGTGGACACGGAGTGGTGCAGCATCCCCACCGACAGATACAGCGCACACGCCTTCGCATCCAGCTCCTGCCCGGAGGGTGAGAGGGAGAGGAGGGAGAAACGGTGGGGGAATGGGAGGGAGTGAGTGAGAGAGTGAAAATCAGATGGGTCCCAGCCCAGCTCATACGGCAGCAGCAGCAGTGGCGATAATGTCAGGGGGAGCAGCGGCAAAAGCACCAGAAGCAGAGCCAGCAGCCAGGGGCCGGGGGAGGGGCAGGTGGAGGGGCAGGGGACAAGGGCAGGCAGAGTGTTACAGGCAGAAGCTGTGCAGCTAACCCTACAGTTACCCCTACACACTTGTGCAAGAGCAAAGAGCAGTGAGCAAAAGAGGAGGGTGCACCTTGCGCATGTCTTGCAGCAGTGGGAGAGGCAGCGGTGCAGAGTGGTGGAGGCGGCGGCAGAGCTTCATGGCGAGCACGAGCAGCGAGTGCAGCGGGCGCGTGAAGTGTGTGTTTCCCAGCATCACATGGCGCTCCAACGATGCGAGGAAACTGCAAGATTGGGATGAGAGATGGAGATGAGAGATAGCAAGAAGGAGGGTGAGTGCAGTGCGTGTTGCCCAGCATCACATGGCGCTCCATCGATGCGAGGAAGCTGAGTGCAGGATGGGAAACTCAAAACAAGGAGCGGATGAGGGTCGCGGTGAGAGATAGCACAAGAGAGAGTGAATGCGGAGCTCAAAGGAACCTGGAAAGCGCGGCTACACAACAACACATAGTTTCTTCTGAGAATTCTCATCAGCAACTCAAGATAGATCAAGCGAGTCTCTGTCGGACAAGTGAGGGCGTGAAGTGGCAATTGAGGGACGACAGGACGGGCACGACCGGAGCAACGTCTATGAAAACATGCCATTAGTGTGAAATGGCACTGATAGCTTGAGAAAAGTGGGGCAGGGGGCGCATGGCATGTGAGAAGAGGAGGGTGCACCGGTCATGTGCGGCGAGCAGGAAGGAGAAGTCGGGGTTGGCTCGGATGGAGGCGAGGAATGCCGCCCACTCCACCTCCACCACGTCCGCCTGTGGAGGTGAGGGACGAGAGAGGGCCAGGCGTGCGTGGCACCAGTGAGTGGCGAAACAGGGAGTGGCGAAACAGAGAGTCGCGAAACAGGGTAGCATAAGTACATGCAGATTACCAGCACATATACATGGAAGTAGCACACATATATGCAGCAGCATAAACATAAACGCATGCAGGCAGCACACACGTACATGGAGGTACGTCTGCAGGCTGGTGACGATCTGCAGCATCTCCTTGAGCATCATGCACAGCATCAGATGCTCCTTGCGCTCCGACAGTGATATGCGCACCACTCCACTGCTGCCCCCTCTCCCACTCCCCGCCCCTCCCACACTGCCTGCCGCCACACTTGTGCTTCTAGTGAAGCCAGCAGCACCAGCAGCACCAGCAGCAGCAGTAGCAGCAGCGGTAGCAGGGCCAGCATCAACGCCACCGCTCCTGACAGCCTCCCCACTGCCAGCTGGCAGCGACCAAGTCCGCTTCATCTGCCCCTCCTCCTCGCCCCTCCCGCTCCCCACCGCCTCCCCTCTACCTTTCCCCTGAACCCCTCCCACCCCTGCCCCTCTCAAACCCCCTTCTCCACCCCTCACCCCTTCACCCCTCCCAGCCACCACGCCACGCGCCCCTTTCTCAGGCAGCCCTCGCATCCTGGCCCCCTCGGGCCTGACCTTGCACAGCAGCAGCCAGGCGAGCTGCAGCTCGAGGGCCACGCGGCGCAGGCGGAAGAGGAACGCCGCCACGCTGTTGTAGCGCTGCAGAGCGGTGGGGGACAGCACCAGCTGTAGCGGCCACGCTACAGCCGTGTTCATCTCCAGCCGGTCCCACCAGTTCACACTGCCACTGCTGCCACTGCTAGACCCCCCTGACTGTGTGCTCTGACTTTGCCCCCGCCCCTGTTGCTGCGCCTGCCCCTCCACCCTCCCCTGCCCCTGCCCTTGCCCCTGCGCTTGCCCTTGCCCCTGCCCCTGCCCCTGCCCCTGCGCTCCCCCCTGTGCGCGTCCCTGCCCCTGCTGCGGTGTGGGCAAGCCAGCCTGCACCACCCCTGGCACCCGTCGTTCACCTGTCTCCACGCCCCTGACCCGTGAAGCAGACGGGTCGAATGGGGTCACCACCAACCCTGTACCCCCACCACTTCCTCTTGCTAATGCTGCCGCTCCTACCCCTGCTCCTCCTCCTGCAGCTGCCCCTGGTGTTCCAGCTGCTATTTCGGCTGCTGCTCCCAGTCTTGACAGGGCTGCTGCTGCTGCCTCTGGTGCTGGCGCTGCCGCAGCTGGTGTGGCAGGCGGGGCTAATGGCTGGGCTGATGGTTGAGGCCTTGTCAAGTCAGGGGGGATGAACCTGGACACATGCAAGTTGCACACCGTTTGATGCCATGCCACACCATGATGTATCATGATCCCACACCATGCCACACCATGTCATGCCCATGACAAGCAATACAAACCAATGGCATCCTTGGTTTTCAGTGCCACAACTCATCGACTGCACCACAGCTGCAATCATGCTAGGTTCTTTGTTCCTCTAGCGTGCCCGTGCATTGCTGAAGTTCAAGGGAGGAAAGGTCAAAGAGCAACGTGCTCATGTGGGACGAGAGACGAGTCCTCGCTACAAGGGAAGTGCAAAAATAGCTTGCTTGCAGAGCGCTTATGAGAATGTTGGACCACATGGAGTGGGGCCAGAGAGAGACAGGGCCTCACTTGAAGGAGAATGTGCGGAAGTACTTGAGAGTCGCCTCCTCCCCGATGCATGCTGATGCCTGGTGGGTGGGCGAGCGGTGGGCATGAAGGCATGGGAGAAAGGGAACGAAGGCATGGCCGAGGGGGAAAATGAAAGGGCGGAAATTGGAAGTGGTTTGAGTTGAATCTGAGGCATGATGCATGAGTGGGAGAGAATTGTAACTTGTTCAAATCTTGGTCAAGGCATCAGCAGCACCTGTGTCATCGAGCCCATCACTCCATTCCATTGCACATGTTCCATTCCACACCATCCCATTCCATCCCATCACAATACAACAGACCAATTTCACTCATCCGCTCCAATGCCGCCATACCAACGGAGGCAGTGGTACGGACCAACAGCACCACCGTCCACCGCTTGCTACTGGCTGGCCTGGCCACACAGGACAGAACAAGCCAGACAATGCCAGACTTCCCCACCTTCTCAACAGCCAGCTGCAGCTTGTCGTTGGCAACCCTGGCCCTCACGTCTGGCTGTGCCAGCACCTCCCTCAACGACTGCCACACGCTCTGAGACACAGGGAGGGGGGGCGATGGGGAGCATAAAAATGTCTCGAACCAAGTCTTTGTTTGTCTGGCCCTCACGTAAGGCTGTGCCAGCACCTCCCTCAGCGACTGCCACACGCTCTGTGAGAAAGGGAGGGGTGGGAAAGGGGAGGAGAATGCAGGTTTTGATGTCTCAAACCAGTTGCGTTACGTCTCAAATGCAATCTTCCTTCACCTGGGCCTCTCTCTCCTCGCGTCTGGTTGTGCCAGCACTTCGTGCAGTGACTGCTGCATGCTCTGTGACACAAGCAGGTGGGAGAAGGGAGGGGAGAGTGCGAGTTCTCATGTCTCAAAACGAGTTTTTAGATGTTTCAGAACAAGCCCTCTTTCCCCTGGGCCTCATGTCTGCCTGCTGTGCCAGCTCCTCCCGCAGTAACTGCCACGCGCTCTGCGAGACGGGGAGGGGGGCGAAGGGGGAGAACAGGACGGGTTACACAATATCCCCGTGCAAGTATTCTTTCTCGTGGGCCTCTCCGCACGTCCAGCGGTGCCAAAACTAGCACCTCCTTCACTGGCTGACAGCTGCAAGAAAAGTGAGCTGATTTGATATTTCAATGAAGTGACTCTTGAAACACCTGATGAAGAAGCTCCCTCCTACCTCACCTGCATGAAGGCGCCCCCTCCGCCCAGCAGGAAGTAATGCACGGCGTGCAGATGACCAAAGAGGTCGCTCTGCCTCACCACCAGCTGCCAGGGGAGGAGACAAGACAGGAAAAGGAAATAAGAGAAAAGAGCAAGAGAAAGCAATACAAGCTGGAGGGGTAGAGGAACGCTAAGGGGGTAATTGGGGGGGTAAAAGGGGATTAAGGTTATTACCGGATAAATCTGCATGTTTGTACCCTGCCTGAATCAATACAAAGGACCGTTTGAGAAAGCAAAGAATAAAGCAAACAACAAAATCGCCTCAGCACACATGTTACAGCGCGGCGAGAGATGGCCTCTTTGTTGCCAGCCTCAAAATATACATACATACACACATGTATAGACATTACATATATATAGAAATCCAAAACGGCTAAGCATACCTGCCACAGGCGGTGCGCTGCTCTTTTCCTGGCTGCCGCCACCACCTCGTGCACCCGCTGCTCGTCCCACACATGCTTCGTGCGCCCCTTCTGCTCCCACCCGGTGATTCAAATGGAGACGGGAAAGAGGGCAGAGGGGGGGGGGGGGGGGATGGGGGTGTGGGGTTGAGACGTTTTTGAAATTTCGCTCAGGGACAGCTCAGAGTCACACGGTAGAGGGGACCCGTAGGAACAGTGTGCGATCACATCACACTGCATGCATCCCCATGGTACCATAGCTCTTATTGTGACGCATGATGGACGCTGGGGTCAGAAACGCGGACATCAGGATGGAACGGGGGATAAAACAGCCATCACGGCCATCACAGCCATCACAACCATCACAACCATCACAACCATCACAGCCATCACAGCCATCACAACCATCACAGCCATCACAGCCATCACAGCCATCACAGCCATCACAGCCATCACAACCATCACAGCCATCACAGCCATCACAGCCATCACAGCCATCACAACCATCACAGCCATCACAGCCATCACAACCATCACAACCATCACAACCATCACAACCATCACAGCCATCACAACCATCACAGCCATCACAGCCATCACAACCATCACAGCCATCACAGCCATCACAGCCATCACAGCCATCACAGCCATCACAACCATCACAGCCATCACAGCCATCACAGCCATCACAGCCATCACAACCATCACAGCCATCACAGCCATCACAGCCATCACAGCCATCACAACCATCACAGCCATCACAGCCATCACAACCATCACAACCATCACAGCCATCACAGCCATCACAGCCATCACAACCATCACAGCCATCACAGCCATCACAACCATCACAACCATCACAGCCATCACAGCCATCACAGCCATCACAGCCATCACAGCCATCACAGCCATCACAGCCATCACAGCCATCACAGCCATCACAGGCATCACAGGCATCACAGCCATCACAGCCATCACAGCCATCACAGCCATCACAGCCATCACAGGCATCACAGGCATCACAGGCATCAGCATGGCAGCCTTGTCCTGACTGAATGCCTCAAGGCGAGTATCAGACTCGCCTGGAGTGCCAGCACACCACTGCATTCTCTCTCATCAACAACGCGTGTGTGCCGTGACACCTGCCCGCCCCTCCCTTGCTCCGCACACACTCACGCGCACCGGCAGCACACTGTCGCATCCCCCCTCATTGTCTCACAGCTTGAGACACTCACGCGCAATGCAAGCACGCTGTCCAGTATCCCCTTCACGTCTGCCTCATGCTTCCGCTGCCTGCTGCTGCCCGCCCCTCGCCCGCTCAGCACAACACTAACCCAGAGGGCGCGCACATTGTTACGTCTCACAACTTTGAAACACTCACGCGCAATGCAAGCACGCTGTCCAGTATCCTCTTCACGTCTCCCTTGTGCTACCTCTGCCTGCTGCTGCCCGCCCCTCGCCCGCTCAGCTCGCTCTCACTGCGCCGCCCCGCCTCCTGCAGCAACAGCATGGCTCGCCCCACAAACAGCGCCGCCTCCGCTGTTTCAGGTGCAAAGTCAGGAGGCAACTGGTCCTGGTGACGGGGGTGGGAAGGGGAGGAACGGGGGAAATGGGGTACTCGTCATTGCTACCTCATTGCTGCTGTACTCGTCCCACCTCATTGCTGCTGTACTCGTCCCACCTCATTGCTGCTGTACTCGTCCCACCTCATTGCTGCTGTACTCGTCCCACCTCATTGCTGCTGTACTCGTCCCACCTCATTGCTGCTGTACTCGTCCCACCTCATTGCTGCTGTACTCGTCCCACCTCATTGCTGCTGTACTCGTCCCACCTCATTGATGCTGTACTCGTCCCACCTCATTGCTGCTGTACTCGTCCCACCTCATTGCTGCTGTACTCGTCCCACCTCATTGATGCTGTACTCGTCCCACCTCATTGCTGCTGTACTCGTCCCACCTCATTGCTGCTGTACTCGTCCCACCTCATTGCTGCTGTACTCGTCCCACCTCATTGATGCTGTACTCGTCCCACCTCATTGATGCTGTACTCGTCCCACCTCATTGCTGCTGTACTCGTCCCACCTCATTGCTGCTGTACTCGTCCCACCTCATTGCTGCTGTACTCGTCCCACCTCATTGCTGCTGTACTCGTCCCACCTCATTGATGCTGTACTCGTCCCACCTCATTGCTGCTGTACTCGTCCCACCTCATTGCTGCTGTACTCGTCCCACCTCATTGCTGCTGTACTCGTCCCACCTCATTGATGCTGTACTCGTCCCACCTCATTGATGCTGTACTCGTCCCACCTCATTGATGCTGTACTCGTCCCACCTCATTGCTGCTGTACTCGTCCCACCTCATTGCTGCTGTACTCGTCCCACCTCATTGATGCTGTACTCGTCCCACCTCATTGCTGCTGTACTCGTCCCACCTCATTGCTGCTGTACTCGTCCCACCTCATTGCTGCTGTACTCGTCCCACCTCATTGCTGCTGTACTCGTCCCACCTCATTGCTGCTGTACTCGTCCCACCTCATTGCTGCTGTACTCGTCCCACCTCATTGCTGCTGTACTCGTCCCACCTCATTGCTGCTGTACTCGTCCCACCTCATTGCTGCTGTACTCGTCCCACCTCATTGCTGCTGTACTCGTCCCACCTCATTGCTGCTGTACTCGTCCCACCTCATTGATGCTGTACTCGTCCCACCTCATTGATGCTGTACTCGTCCCACCTCATTGATGCTGTACTCGTCCCACCTCATTGATGCTGTACTCGTCCCACCTCATTGCTGCTGTACTCGTCCCACCTCATTGATGCTGTACTCGTCCCACCTCATTGATGCTGTACTCGTCCCACCTCATTGATGCTGTACTCGTCCCACCTCATTGATGCTGTACTCGTCCCACCTCATTGATGCTGTACTCGTCCCACCTCATTGATGCTGTACTCGTCCCACCTCATTGATGCTGTACTCGTCCCACCTCATTGATGCTGTACTCGTCCCACCTCATTGCTGCTGTACTCGTCCCACCTCATTGCTGCTGTACTCGTCCCACCTCATTGCTGCTGTACTCGTCCCACCTCATTGCTGCTGTACTCGTCCCACCTCATTGCTGCTGTACTCGTCCCACCTCATTGCTGCTGTACTCGTCCCACCTCATTGCTGCTGTACTCGTCCCACCTCATTGCTGCTGTACTCGTCCCACCTCATTGCTGCTGTACTCGTCCCACCTCATTGATGCTGTACTCGTCCCACCTCATTGCTGCTGTACTCGTCCCACCTCATTGATGCTGTACTCGTCCCACCTCATTGATGCTGTACTCGTCCCACCTCATTGATGCTGTACTCGTCCCACCTCATTGATGCTGTACTCGTCCCACCTCATTGATGCTGTACTCGTCCCACCTCATTGATGCTGTACTCGTCCCACCTCATTGATGCTGTACTCGTCCCACCTCATTGATGCTGTACTCGTCCCACCTCATTGATGCTGTACTCGTCCCACCTCATTGATGCTGTACTCGTCCCACCTCATTGATGCTGTACTCGTCCCACCTCATTGATGCTGTACTCGTCCCACCTCATTGCTGCTGTACTCGTCCCACCTCATTGCTGCTGTACTCGTCCCACCTCATTGCTGCTGTACTCGTCCCACCTCATTGATGCTGTACTCGTCCCACCTCATTGATGCTGTACTCGTCCCACCTCATTGATGCTGTACTCGTCCCACCTCATTGATGCTGTACTCGTCCCACCTCATTGATGCTGTACTCGTCCCACCTCATTGCTGCTGTACTCGTCCCACCTCATTGCTGCTGTACTCGTCCCACCTCATTGCTGCTGTACTCGTCCCACCTCATTGCTGCTGTACTCGTCCCACCTCATTGCTGCTGTACTCGTCCCACCTCATTGCTGCTGTACTCGTCCCACCTCATTGCTGCTGTACTCGTCCCACCTCATTGCTGCTGTACTCGTCCCACCTCATTGCTGCTGTACTCGTCCCACCTCATTGCTGCTGTACTCGTCCCACCTCATTGCTGCTGTACTCGTCCCACCTCATTGCTGCTGTACTCGTCCCACCTCATTGCTGCTGTACTCGTCCCACCTCATTGCTGCTGTACTCGTCCCACCTCATTGCTGCTGTACTCGTCCCACCTCATTGCCGCTGTACTCGTCCCACCTCATTGCTGCTGTACTCGTCCCACCTCATTGCTGCTGTACTCGTCCCACCTCATTGCTGCTGTACTCGTCCCACCTCATTGCTGCTGTACTCGTCCCACCTCATTGCTGCTGTACTCGTCCCACCTCATTGCTGCTGTACTCGTCCCACCTCATTGCTGCTGTACTCGTCCCACCTCATTGCTGCTGTACTCGTCCCACCTCATTGCTGCTGTACTCGTCCCACCTCATTGATGCTGTACTCGTCCCACCTCATTGATGCTGTACTCGTCCCACCTCATTGATGCTGTACTCGTCCCACCTCATTGATGCTGTACTCGTCCCACCTCATTGCTGCTGTACTCGTCCCACCTCATTGATGCTGTACTCGTCCCACCTCATTGATGCTGTACTCGTCCCACCTCATTGATGCTGTACTCGTCCCACCTCATTGATGCTGTACTCGTCCCACCTCATTGATGCTGTACTCGTCCCACCTCATTGATGCTGTACTCGTCCCACCTCATTGCTGCTGTACTCGTCCCACCTCATTGCTGCTGTACTCGTCCCACCTCATTGATGCTGTACTCGTCCCACCTCATTGCTGCTGTACTCGTCCCACCTCATTGATGCTGTACTCGTCCCACCTCATTGATGCTGTACTCGTCCCACCTCATTGATGCTGTACTCGTCCCACCTCATTGATGCTGTACTCGTCCCACCTCATTGATGCTGTACTCGTCCCACCTCATTGCTGCTGTACTCGTCCCACCTCATTGCTGCTGTACTCGTCCCACCTCATTGATGCTGTACTCGTCCCACCTCATTGCTGCTGTACTCGTCCCACCTCATTGCTGCTGTACTCGTCCCACCTCATTGCTGCTGTACTCGTCCCACCTCATTGCTGCTGTACTCGTCCCACCTCATTGCTGCTGTACTCGTCCCACCTCATTGCTGCTGTACTCGTCCCACCTCATTGCTGCTGTACTCGTCCCACCTCATTGCTGCTGTACTCGTCCCACCTCATTGCTGCTGTACTCGTCCCACCTCATTGCTGCTGTACTCGTCCCACCTCATTGCTGCTGTACTCGTCCCACCTCATTGCTGCTGTACTCGTCCCACCTCATTGCTGCTGTACTCGTCCCACCTCATTGCTGCTGTACTCGTCCCACCTCATTGCTGCTGTACTCGTCCCACCTCATTGATGCTGTACTCGTCCCACCTCATTGCTGCTGTACTCGTCCCACCTCATTGCTGCTGTACTCGTCCCACCTCATTGCTGCTGTACTCGTCCCACCTCATTGATGCTGTACTCGTCCCACCTCATTGCTGCTGTACTCGTCCTACCTCATTGATGCTGTACTCGTCCGACCTCATTGATGCTGTACTCGTCCGACCTCATTGATGCTGTACTCGTCCCACCTCATTGATGCTGTACTCGTCCCACCTCATTGCTGCTGTACTCGTCCCACCTCATTGATGCTGTACTCGTCCCACCTCATTGATGCTGTACTCGTCCCACCTCATTGATGCTGTACTCGTCCCACCTCATTGCTGCTGTACTCGTCCCACCTCATTGCTGCTGTACTCGTCCCACCTCATTGATGCTGTACTCGTCCCACCTCATTGCTGCTGTACTCGTCCCACCTCATTGATGCTGTACTCGTCCCACCTCATTGATGCTGTACTCGTCCCACCTCATTGATGCTGTACTCGTCCCACCTCATTGATGCTGTACTCGTCCCACCTCATTGATGCTGTACTCGTCCCACCTCATTGATGCTGTACTCGTCCCACCTCATTGATGCTGTACTCGTCCCACCTCATTGATGCTGTACTCGTCCCACCTCATTGATGCTGTACTCGTCCCACCTCATTGATGCTGTACTCGTCCCACCTCATTGATGCTGTACTCGTCCCACCTCATTGATGCTGTACTCGTCCCACCTCATTGCTGCTGTACTCGTCCCACCTCATTGCTGCTGTACTCGTCCCACCTCATTGCTGCTGTACTCGTCCCACCTCATTGATGCTGTACTCGTCCCACCTCATTGATGCTGTACTCGTCCCACCTCATTGATGCTGTACTCGTCCCACCTCATTGATGCTGTACTCGTCCCACCTCATTGATGCTGTACTCGTCCCACCTCATTGCTGCTGTACTCGTCCCACCTCATTGCTGCTGTACTCGTCCCACCTCATTGATGCTGTACTCGTCCCACCTCATTGATGCTGTACTCGTCCCACCTCATTGATGCTGTACTCGTCCCACCTCATTGATGCTGTACTCGTCCCACCTCATTGATGCTGTACTCGTCCCACCTCATTGATGCTGTACTCGTCCCACCTCATTGCTGCTGTACTCGTCCCACCTCATTGCTGCTGTACTCGTCCCACCTCATTGATGCTGTACTCGTCCCACCTCATTGCTGCTGTACTCGTCCCACCTCATTGATGCTGTACTCGTCCCACCTCATTGATGCTGTACTCGTCCCACCTCATTGATGCTGTACTCGTCCCACCTCATTGATGCTGTACTCGTCCCACCTCATTGATGCTGTACTCGTCCCACCTCATTGCTGCTGTACTCGTCCCACCTCATTGCTGCTGTACTCGTCCCACCTCATTGATGCTGTACTCGTCCCACCTCATTGCTGCTGTACTCGTCCCACCTCATTGCTGCTGTACTCGTCCCACCTCAT